TGGATTAGATCATGCAAGACATGCGAGCCCAAAACCCTGGACCCTACTTGCACCCTACTAAGCCCTAAACCCCTAAACCCTCGAATGCGTCAGGGCTGGGCCTCGTCGATGACGTCCCATTCTATCTTCGCCTGTGGCAAAAATCTACGCGCTCTGAGGCGTTGAGGGATGTGGCTGCGAACTTGAGGGAGGGCTTCTCGACAACCCTAAACCCTAACTAAACCCTGGGCCTGGGACCTTGGGACCCTTGGACTGGGACCCTAGGACCCGAAGCCCGTAAACCCTAAACCCGAGACCCGAAAACTTGAATCCCTGAAAGAGAAAAGAACCGACGTCCGCAACGCTGGACCCAGAGCCGAAAAGCCCGCCTCCCCTCTCAGCAGTAGCTCTTCACGGCTTTAGGGTTTAGGTCTAGGTTTTAGGGGATAGTGCTTAGGCTCTACGGCTTAGGGTTTAGGGGCTTGGGTTTGGCTCTAAGACCCTGAAAAGTCCTAAACTTTCTCTCGCGTGTGGGAGTGGAGACCCTCAAAAGTATCGGAGGATGCCCCTGAAGTAGTACCTACTATTTGGGTCGTTCCCCTAGTAGGGTTTAGGGTTTAGGGTTTAGGGTTTAGGGTTTAGGGTTTAGGGTTTAGGGTTTCGTTTCCGGGTCACCCACTTTTTTGGGGAATGCCAGTTTCACTCCCGAACTGCCCCTTCCAGCAGCAGCATTGTTTCCCCACTGAATGTGTTCAAAGCATCAAAGCAACTGCAGTGAGCAAAGCTGGCTGTTTACATGAAGCTCTGTAGTTAAAGGGCTGTGCGGTGTTGAGGATGCCTGACACCCACCCCTCTCCACTCCACACCCCTGCGCTCGTGATCGAGGAAAGGGGGGGGGATATTAGTGGCAGGGGACGAGATCAAAAGCAGCTTCAAAGAAACCGAATCCCTAACCCCGAAAACCAGAACCCTATAACCACCCAAACCCAAACCCACAACTCACGACCCCACAGCCCCAGAATCCCAGAACCCGAGCACCCCACAACTCCAGAACCCAAACCCAAAAACCCCAAAACCCCAAACATCCCAAAACCCCAAACCCCAAAACCTCAAACCCCAAAACAGCAAAACCCGAAACCCAAAACCCAAAACCGTACAACCCCAACACCCCAAACCGGAAAACCCGAACCGCTAAACTCTAAACTACTCTAAACCCCAAAACCCCAACACCCCAACACCCCAACACCCCAAAACCCCCAAGCCCCGAAACCCAAGAACCCCAAAATCCAAAAACCCAACCCGCAAAACCCGGACCCCTAAACTCAAGACCCCAACCCCGAAACTCCAAAACCCAAAACCCCAAAACCTCCAACGGCACAACCCAAAATCCTAAACCCGAAACCCTAAACCCTAAAACCCTAAAACCCTAAACCCTAAACCCCAAACCCTAAACCGACCTTGCAGTGCCCCTCCGGCCTGGAACTCAGACTTCCGCCTCCTTCCCTTGGGTAGGTCCTGGAAGCCCAGGGCTGGCATAGGGTTTAGGGTTTAGGGTTTAGGGTTTAGGGTTTAGGGTTTAGGGTTCAGGGTTTAGGGTTTAGGGTTTAGGGTTTAGGGTTTTAGGGTTTTAGGATTCAGGGTTTAAGGGTTTTAGGGTTTAGGGTGTATAGGGTTTTGGGTGTAATAATCCCTTTATCTGCGGGGGAGGGGGTTCTTTGCGGAACTCCCCTTCGCGTCAGTTCTGTGATCAACCCTCACCGCTCAAGCGCGGGTGGGGGGGGGGCTAGGGTTAAGGGTTTTGGGTTTACGGCTCGGAGCAAGTAGCACCAAGGCTTGGCGATTTTGGAAGGGCATGTGGCGTCTGTCTTATATAGGGGCCTTTCAGCTTTTGCCGGCAATTATTGGGGTTTAGGGTTTAGGGTTTAGGGTACTCAGAAGTGGGTGAGGGTCCCAGTGGTTTGGGTTTGGGATTCTTATTTAGAATGGGTATTGGGGGTAATGAGATGGTCAGTCATATCTTGGGATGTTCCCCCTTATACTACCAGTCCGTAATGGGCATGATAATCCCTATTAAGGACTGTTAGCCTAAGGGGGAACGTCACAAACCCCAAACCCGAAGCCCTAAACCCTAAACCCCAAACCCTAAACCCTAAACCCCAAACCCTAAATCCTAAAACAAAATCGCTTCAGACCTTGTCCAGGTTGACGGGCTCACCGCGGCCGACCTGGTCCAGAGAGATGGGCTGAGGGTTGCAGGATTTCGTGGGTTTAGGGTTTATTGTCTGGGGTTTAGGGATGCACGGGGTGAGGGGAGGGGTTGCGGGTTTAGCGGTTTAGGTTTAGGGTTTCGGGACTCGCGGTTTAGGGTCTAGGGCTACGGCTCACCTAGGAAGTATGTCGCCTTCTCTTGGCTTGACTATGGCTGCGAACAAGGGGGTCCAAACCCGAAAAGCAAGGGAACATATAGGTAATTTCTACTGGGAGGCGGTTTAGCGTTTAGGGTTTAGCGTTTAGGGTTCCCCAATTATCTGGGAAAAGTAAAGGCGCCCTCTTCTTTGCCTAACTACGGTCACTAACAAGGGGGGGGGGGGGGTCCTTCACACGAAAAACAAGTGAACAAGGGTACTACGGGGGTGTTCTGTAGGGTTTCGGGTCGAAGTGTATAAATGAGGTCTAGAGCTAGATGTAGGGTTTGGGGCTGTCTAGCGCTCAACTCGGCACCCCCGAATTAACCCCTAGTAATCCTGCAACCCTAAACCCTTCTGCCTAAGATCACGGTCTGAGGGGTTAGGCCTGCCCCACCATCAACAGCCAAAGACCGATGCTTGCCCTTGCTGCAAATGATGACGAACAGAAGGTAAGTGTTTCACAACGGGGGGAACAACAGTCACTTTTTCCAAGGCGCCGTGCGTCTTAGGCCTGAAAACAGGGCTGTAGCTCTCAAACTGGAAACTCAAAGCGTCGGAGACTGCATTCCCAAAGTCAACGCTACACCCTGAACCCTAAACCCTCTCAACCCTAAGCCTTACGACCTCAGACCCCTAAACCCCAGAACTTCAATTCGTAAACCCTAATGTTAACCTCGTATTATTGAACCCCCTGATATTAAAGTGCGCCAGGGATCCCGGCCGCAATAATAAAGCCCTGGGAATAAAGTACGCCAAGTCGGGGCTGGTTTTTTTTGGGGGAGTTTGATTGAAGGGGGGCTCTAAGGAAAGGAATCCTTATTCAAAGGGGCCCTACTCTATTTGGGGGGGTTTGATTGAAGGGGGGGGGGGGGGTGGGGTTTATTATTACGAGGTCAACATTAAGCCCTGCACCCTGAACCCTAAACCCTGAACTTGCAAACTCAGACAGTGAGCCCTAGTGCATTAAAACTCTAAACCCTAAACTTAAGACCGGCCCCCTCTCGGGCATGGGGGCTGGTCGTTAGCAGGCCACCCGCAAGAGCCTGCGGACCCGTAGGCGAAGGCCGGCAGGCGAGCCGTAGGGTCCTGGACCTTAGGTCCACGTGGCCTCGAGGCATGGACCACACTGCAGCCGAAAGAAAGAAAGGTTTAGGGGTTTGAGGTCTAGGAATTAGGGATGTTCAGGGTTTCGCTTCGGGCAGGCTTTGTTTCCTTTCCAGCCTTTCCAGGCCCCTCCCAAGGTCAGAAGGCCTCGCTCTCGCTGCCCAAATCAAGCTCTTTGGCTTCCAGTTCCACATTTCGCTCCAGGCACTCTTGCTTTCCTTTCCAGGCCCCTGCATGGCCAAAAGGGCAGCGAGAGCCCGGATCAAGTTTTTTGGCTTCCAAACCGGCCGTAGGGCCGCCCCCTGCGTTAAACTTTCCCAAGCTGATCCGGGCACGCCTGGTTCGTTGAAGGCCCTGCAGGGCCAAGGAAAAGCCTTCCACAAAGGCAGCCACGCGAGAGCCCAATTCTAGCTTTTGGCTTCCAACAACCTTCCACAAGGTCCAAATAGTCAGCCAAAACTCGCCGTACAACCGGCCGTTTAAATTTCCCGAGGTCCGGAGGCTCTGCCACCTGGGCCCAAAGGCAGAGGCCTCCAATGTCACATGACCATGAAGCCATGCTTCTGCGCGACTGTAGGAATGGGAGACCTGCCAAAAGCATATATCCCCCCTTGCTTGGGGCGCTTGCGGGGGTAGATTGCCCTAAACCCGTCAAGGTTTTAATTTGGGTGGGCGGGCGGGCACTTCAGTCAGCTAAGAAGCCGGACCCCAACCAAAGTATGCGGCGGTTCGAGCGTACTCCAGCGAACACTCTAAACCGAAACCCTAATCACTACACCCTAAACCCTACACTTTAGACCCTAAACGGGCTAAACCCCAACGCCTTAAACTAAACGCCCTGAACCCCAAGATCTCAACCCGAAATCCTCAACCCTAAAAACCCTAATCAAAGTGCATCTTGCAGCCCTTAGATGCTAAAGCCAATAGCCTGAACCTGACAACCTTAGAAACCTTCAATTTGCCAAAGCCCTACAAAACTAAATCTTAAGCCCTCATCTTCGGCACCAAACCTGGTTCACCCGAAATACCCTAAACCCCGTTGGCCTCCTCCACCTTCGCGCCGAGCTGCGCTAAATCACGCCTGGAGAAATTGCGTTTGACTTAGGGGTTTCCAAAAAAGTAAGGGTTTAGGGTTTAGGGTTTAGGGTTTAAATAAGGGGACCCCTATAAATGTGAACCCCCGAATAGTAGGATTCCCTTGTAATCAGGACCCAAGAACGCATTAGGTTTAGGGTGTAGGGCTCAGTTTTTTTTCATTTAGGGGGGGGGGGGGGAATTCAGGCTTTACAAGGCTTCTATAGCGGGGTAGATAAGAGCCTAAGCCCCAACCCTAAACCCTCGAGAATTCAAAGGCGCGAGACCCTAAACCCCAAACTTGACACAAATGCAGGGTTGGCGTGGAGAACCTACCGTGCTTCAGACCAGCTGAGTTCCAAAAGACCTTGTCCACGAGAGCATAGGAGCGGTGACAGCTTGCTGGTCTTGTGCCCTCCTTCTTTTTCAGACGCCACCTGCTCCACATAGGAATTTCCGAAAATAGGGGTACCATTTTATACCAAATGGAATAGACCACGGTAAAGCAAGATTGGTTGGCCTGACCCTCATTTTTTTGGGGGCGTGGCTGAACAAAAAGCCACAGGAAAGCAGCCGCCCCAAACCGTCAACCCTAACCCTAAACCTGAAGCCCAATAACCAGTGCCACAGCACAGCCTCAGGAACCAAATATAAGCCTAGAGTCAGCATCATCTGCCCGGTACTACTCTAAACCCCCTGATGCTAGGGTTTCGGGTTCAGGGTTTAGGGTTCAGGGTTTGGGGTTTAGGGTTTAGGGTTTCAAGAATCGGCACCAAAAGGCCCGTAAACCCGGTGAACCCTCCAGGCCCTCCTTAAACCCTAGCCCCGAGTCCCTCTACAGTTCCCTTCGTCCCCAAGAATATAGACCCCAAACCCTATAAACCCTATAAACCCTATAAAACCCTATAAACCCTATAAACCCTATAAACCCTATAAACCCTATAAAACCCTATAAACCCTATAAACCCTATAAACCCTAAACCCTCAACCCTAAACCCTAAACCGCCTGCCGACCACGTGGTCTGCGTCCGGCGCCGGGGAGCCCTTCGCCTCCCATTCCTGGCCGCAGCTGGGGCCAAAGCTGGGTTTCAAGACCCGTACCCGTAGGGTTAGGGTTTAGGGTTTAGGGTTTAGGGTTTAGGGTTTAGGGTTTAGGGTTTAGGGTTTAGGGTTTAGGGTTTAGGGTTTAGGGTTTAGGGTTTAGGGTTTAGGGTTTAGGGTTTAGGGCTTAAAAGGTTTAGGGTTTAGGGTCGGTTCAGCGTTTAGGGTTTAGGGCTTAGGAATGTGCACCCTATATCCCCCTATATACCCTTTGAAGGAATAGCTAGGGTACCTCATTCCCCATTCCCTACTAAGAACCAGGGGGCTGGGCATCCAAGACCGGTAGGCTTTGAGGCTTTAAGGTGTTAGGGCTCAGGGCTTAGGGCATTAAGGCTTTGAGGTCTTAGGGTTTAGTGTCTGTAGGGGGGTTTAGGGAATTTGGAGGGGTTTGGGGGGGTTTAGGGAGTTTAGGAGGTAGGTCGGGGCCCTTAGGGTTAGGGCTTAGAAGGTTTGGAGGGCTACGGGGTTCGAGAGGGTTGAGCCTAAACCCCGAAACCATAAATCCTGGGGTTGTAAGGTTTAGGGACTTTAGGGGAAACAATCTCATCCTGCGGGGCAGGGCCTAAACTGCCTAAACCCCAAACATGTAAGGCCTCAGGGTTTAGGGTTGAGGGGTGAGGGACTAAAGCCCTGAAACCTAAACCCCTAGACCCTGAACCGTAAACAAAGCCACCCTAAACCCTGAACCCTAAACCCTGAAACCCTAAATCCTGAACAAGCCCCACAAACTCCAAAAACGAAGCTCCGAGCCCGAGCCTTTCTCACCACGGACTTGTGCCACTTGTACACCCTCTCCATGAGCTCCTCGGTGTTATACCTGGATTAAAGGGAATTTTGGAGGGCTTAGGGTTTAGGGTTTAGGGTTTAGGGTTTAGGGTCCCGGGCCCTATAAACGGAAACGGAGCAAAAGGCAGAACGACTGGAACCTCGAAACAAAAAAGTGAGGAAGGTCTGAAGCTGTTGCGGGAGAAACGCCATCGCCTAGGCACGTCAGCTCAGGATCGGGTTAGGGTTTAGGGTTTGGGGTTTAGGGTTTAGGGTTTAGGGTTTGGGGTTTAGGGTTTAAGGGCTTAGGGTTTACGGTTTACGGTGCCGAACACTAAATCCTGAAACGCTTAAACCCTAAATCCCACAGACGTTGGCCCTGAACAGCACGGGCCCTTTGGGGTTTGGTTTCTTGGGGTATATAGAGTTTACAAGGTTTTCAGGGTTTACAGGGGGCTACAGGGCTTATGAGGATTATAGGGCTTACAGGGTTTATAGCGTTTATAATACGGTATATACTCGGAGGTTCAGGGTTCTTATAACCCCAATTATAGGCCTACTGATGAGCCACCGACGTCCTCTAAGCAGGATATAAGTAGACTTACAATTGGGGTTCTAAGTACCCAAACCCGAAACCCTAAACATGTTAGACATATAATTGGGATCTCGAATACTTACAAACCTCCACGCAGGGCGTCATGGCTGCACACCTGACACGAAGGCATGCAGACGAAACCCCCAAAGTGTAACGCACACACACACACACACACACACACACAAACTGCATATTGCATCTCTACACCCGCTAACCCCTAGCTAAACCCTAAACCTAAGCCCTAAACCCTAGAAACCAAAAACCCAAACCCAATCCCCGAACCGAATTCGAAGGAACCACCAGATTCAGGGGGAGAGACCCTGGCGCCCCTTAGATCCCACTTGCGGTTTGGGGTTTAGGGTTCAGGGTTTAGGGTTTAGGGTTTCGGGTTCGGTTAGGGTGTGGGGTTTGGGGTTTAGGGTTTCGGGTGTACAGTAGGGTCTCGGGTTTGCAAGGTTGAGGGGACATAGGGTTTCGGGTTTAGGCTTGGGGTTTTATAGGCTGGAAGCCACATCCACACATCGGGAGCGAAGCCTTGTGGCTGCTGAGATGTTGAAGACGCGCGTGTGTCCACACCGCCTCTTACAAGACGCGGGGTTCAAACTAAAACCTAATTATAGGCCGAAGCCCTGTAAACAACTCCCCTAAGCCCCAAGCCCTATAAGCCCCAATGAAAGGACTAAAGCTTAAACCCGAAATCCCAGAAAGCCTAAACCTAGACCCCTTCCGGCAGAGGGCGTAAAAGGAGTTTTGGCGTACTACTACTACTACTACTACTACTACTACTACTACTACTACTACTACTACTACTACTACCACTACTACTACTACTACTACTACTACTACTACTACTACTACTACTACTACTACTACTACTACTACTACTCTACTACTACTACTACTACTACTACTACTACTACTACTACTACTACTACTACTACTACTACTACTACTACTACTACTACTACTACTACTACTACTACTACTACTACTACTAACTACTACTACTACTACTACTACTACTACTACTACTACTACTACTACTACTACTACTACTACTACTACTACTACTACTACTACTACTACTACTAAGCTGTTATTGGCGCTCTCGAAATGACACAAGCACCAGCGTGAAATGTCGGTCCACCAAAGACTGAACAGTTGGCGGAGCTGATGGTGGGGTGATGAACAACTCGAGGCTGTCACGCGCTGACATTGGAACGGTGCATTTCCCGACATCTCCTGTGCAGCCAGATAACGATCGGCTGCGCTCGTTCAGGCACCATGCACGCAAATTTCGGAAGGCGTCCAACACTAAGCCCTCAACCCTAGAGCCCCGTAAACAAATAGACCCTAAACCCTAAAAACCCTAGAGCCCTATAAACCCTGAAGCCCTAAAGCCCTCAACCCTAAACCCCACAAACCTGACCCTCGAAACCCTGAACCCTGAACCCTGAACCCTAAACCCTAGGCCCTAAACCCTAAATCCTAAACCCTAAACCCTAAACCCGTCGTTTGCCCCACGGGCCTTCTCAGTTCCTTCATCAGCTCAGGAAGCCGCTCCTCCAGGGCGCCCCCCCAATGGATGGGATCCAACCCGAAGTTAGGGTTTAGGGTTTAGGGTTTAGGGTTTAGGGTTTAGGGGAGTTTAGGGTTTAGGGTTTCAGGGTTGTAGGGTTAAGGATTGAGGGCTTTTGGGGTTCGGGGTTTATAATTATAGGGCTCTGGGGTGTTAGGGTTTACTGCTTTCCGGCTCCAGGGCTTAGGGGTTCTACCTTGGACCCTTAAGGTGGTACTTTTGGGTTTTGGGGTTGCTTTTAAAGGAGGGTTTAGGGTTTAGGGTTTAGGGTTTAGGGTTTCTAAGGGAATATAAGGGCCATATTAGGAGTATATTAAGGGGAACCTTTAGGGGCACATCCTTAGGGGTACGAGTCTTCATGCCTTGATTATAGGGTTTTGGACTTATAGGGTGTTAGGGTTTAGGGTTGTTCTGGGGCTCCAGGGTTGAGGGCTTGTAGGGTTTATAGGGTTAGGGCTCTGGGGCTTATAGGACTAGGGTTGAGGGCTTCAGGGTTTACAGGGTTTAGGGTTTGGGGTCTATAGGGTTTGGGGTTTGGGGTTTAGGGTCTGGGGTTGTTGGGTGTCAGGGTTTGGGGATTCACGGGCAAGGGTTTGGGGTTCAAGGCTTCGGCCAAACGGCCAGCTGCCCACAAAACATGAGGAAATAGGGTTTAGGGTTCGAGGCTACTTGGGCTCGATAGCGTTCTACACCCTGATCCCCGAAAAACTTTCGAAGAACCAAACCCCTAAGAGCCCTAAACCGTCAGCCCTAAACCCCTGAAGCCCTAAACCCTAAAACCCTAAACCCTGAACCCCAAACCCTAAGCCCTAAACCCTACAACCTACAACCCTAAACCCTGAACCCTAAACCCCGAACCCTAAACCCTACACCCAAACCCCCGTAAACCCTAAACCCCAAACCCCAAGCCCTAAACCCTCCCTGGGTGGCGCCGGCCTGAACTTCAGGAAGGTCGCACTTGTTGACCACAACCACCTGGGGCTTCATAGCGACCTGCGCGCTGTCTTGGGACTGGTGGAATCCACAGGGTTTAGGGTTTAGGGTTTAGGGTTTAGGGTGTATGGTTTAGGGTTTAGGGTTTAGGGTTTAGGGTTTAGGGTTTAGGGTTCAGGGCTGCAGGGGTTTAGGGCTTCAGGTGTTTGGGGCTTTGGTTTCTTTATTCCAAGTCCTTGCCACAGAAGACCTGTCGTCCATGAAAACAAGCGAGCGGAAGTGGCCACATGCTTAACCCCCGTAGCGACCCAAAGGCAAAGTACCAAAGGCGCCAAAGGGCAGCCCTGTGGGGTGGCGCTTAAGTCGCGAAGAGGTCGATCAAGAGTGTGCCACTGCCATTGAACATAGCGCACCTGGCCAGTCCAGGCTTGTTCCCACAGAGCGCAGAAATGTGGGCACCATCCGATCGTTTGCAGGTATTGTCGGCTAATGCTTGGATGCATCCTGTCATAGCACTGGGAGTAGTCCAAGGTTGCCAGTATACCGCCTTTGGCCGAGCGATCCTGCAAGAGGAGAGCTGTTTCGTCAGCACTCGAACCAATATTATGGGATGGGCTTGGGGCCGTGGCTCGGGGGCTCAGGCGTTTTAGGGTTTAGGGTTCGCTAAATACCCTAAACCCTAATCCGAGCATCAGTTTAATTAATACCCCCACATTTAAAGAAATTTTTGTTGGCCGGAAGCCCGCCGGAAGACTACTTTCCATTAGGTTGGATTTCGTATGGGACAAACCCCCCACATTTAAAGGAATTGTTTTCGGTGGTCCAAAAATCTGTCGGCAAGCTTCTTGTTTTGCTTGCGGAGACGCGAAGCTACAGCACCTCAGGGATCGGCAGCCTATTGTCTTTAATAGGGAATCAATGCAGGGCCACGGTCCAATCATTGCGGAACCCTGCCTTTCTTATTGTGGGGGGGGGGGGGGGGCCCCCAATTAAACAGAAGCTCGGATTAAACCCTAAACCCTAGACCCTAGACCCTAAACCCTAATGGGGATGTTGGGGGGGATGTGTTTGTAGAGCTTAGGGCGACGTTCGAGCGCCAACCAGACAATAACCCCCCCCCCCCCCCCCCCCCCCCCCGGGTGCCAAACCCCCCGGGTGCCGAAACCACCCATGCTTGCTCAAGAGCTCGGTAGCGAAGATTCACTTCTAAGGCGTTCGGTTTAGGGTTTAGGGTTTAGGGTTTAGGGTGTAGGGTTTAGGGGTTTAGGGGTTTAGGGGTTTAGGGGTTTGGGGGTTTAGGGGTTTAGGGGTTTAGGGGTTAGGGGTTTAGGGGGGGGGTTTTGGGATTAGTTTAGGGGTTTAGGGTTTTTTAGGGGGTTTGGGGGTTTAGGGGTTTGGGGGTTAGGGGTTTAGGGGTTTAGGGGTTCAGGGGTTTAGGGGTTTAGGGGTTTAGGGGTTTAGGGGTTTAGTGGTTTAGGGGTTTAGGGGTTTGGGGGTTGGGGGTTTAGGGGTTTAGGGGTTTTAGGTGTTTAGGGGTTTAGGGGTTTAGGGGTTTGGGGGTTTAGGGGTTAGGGGTTTAGGGGTTAGGAGTTTAGGGGTTTAGGGGTTTAGGTTAGGGGTTTAGGGGGGGTTTAGGGGTTTAGGGGTTTAGGGGTTTAGGGGTTTGGGGGTTTAGGGGTTTAGGGGTTTAGGGGTTTAGGGGTTTAGGGTGTACAAGTCCGGGTTGATGTGGCATGTTGGGTTGGGGGGGTAGCTCCTGTATAGCTTGAAGGCAAGTAGTCGTGCTTTGGGGCTCATGGTTTTCTGAACCTTGCTGAAATGAAACCACCAAGCCCTAAACCCTAAACCCTATATCCTAAACCCTAAATAACCCTAAACCTGACTCCTTAGTGCATGAGGATCCTGTTTCTATGGAAATCGTGTGTCACTTCTGTTTGTTGCGCTCTTTTGTCGTGAACGGCTCGGACCCGTGACTCGAAGATGTGCTCGTCCAGGGTTTAGGGTCCAGGGTTTAGGGTTTAGGGTTTAGGGTTCGGGGTTTAGGGCCAGTTTAGGGTTCAGGGTTCAGGGTTTCGGGCCTTGGGGGTTGCATTTTTTTAATTTTGTGGTTCCTAAAGGCAGAAAGGCTTGGGACATGTGCGAAAAGTGCGAACTTTGAATGGGTATTTGCGCAAATCAGGGACCCTAATATAGACCCCAAATAGTAAGATTCCCTTACCCCTTATAAGAAGGACCCCCCAAGAAGGTACACTTATTCTCCCCTAAACCCGAAACCCGAAACCCTAAACCCTAAATCCTAAACCCCCGTATAGCGATTATTGGCGACTATTGGGAAAGGGCTTCGTCCGGCTCCAGACCGAAAAGCTGTCGGCTCATGGTCTTTTAGGGTTTAGGGTTTAGGGTTTCGGGTTTAGTGTTTATAGGGTTTTCTAACAGGATTGTAGGTTTCATAGGGTTGATAGGGTTTTAATGGCTGGGTTCAGGGTTTTGGGGTACACCCCCCCCCCAAAAAAAAAAAAAAACTGAACTCCTACCGCGTATCCTTGAACTTCTAGACCTAAATGTCCCTTATCACCCTAAACCCAAATCCCTACGGTAGACCCCAACAAGTCCCCTCCACTACAACAAAAATCCGAATATCCCCCCGAAACCCCTAACCCCACCCCCAAACCCAACCGCCTGCTCCCCCCCCCCCCCCCCCCCCCCCCCCCGCGAACCCCCAAAGCCCGGACCGGCGGGAAACCCTAAACCCTGAACACCCTAAACCCTAAACCGGCCCTACACCCTGAACCCTAAACCCTATAAACCCTAAACCCTAAACCCTGAACACCTTAAACCCTAAACCCTAAATCCCCCCCAAAGCCTCTAAAGCCCGGAGACCACGCCTCGGTGCTGTAGTCGCGCAGCTCCTTCTGAATGGTCTCGAAATCGCCAATCGGGTCCTGCAGGTTTAGGGTTTAGGGTTTAGGGTTTAAGGTGTAGGGTTTAAAGGGCAGCTTTTGGACTCAGGGTTTTAGGGTCTCAAGGTTGGAGAGTGTAGGTCTGAGGGTTTGTGGTGCTTAGTAGGCTATACTCAGTTCCCTAATTAAGCCCTACCCTTAAACGGGAAGTGCCCTTTAAAGGAAAGCGGGCCCTCAACCAAAACCTGAATCGGAGTTGACAAACCCAAAATCCCAAACCCACCCCACCCCGCATGCCCCCCCCCCCCCCCCCCACCACATCCCCGCCCCCACCCACGCCCAACAACAACCATCTCAGCCCTGAACTGTTTCGGGTTTAGAGGTGTAATTGAGGGGTTCAGGAGTTCGGGGTCTAAACCTTGCTTGGAGGTTCATGATACTTATTAACCATTTATAACTGTGCTTATAACCCGCTCATAAACCCCTCAAGTGAAATAATATAATGATAAGTACAGTTCTAAGTACAGATGTAGTTCGTTAATGAATACTATGAGCCTCCCAGTAAACCCTAAACTCTACTCCCTGAACTCTAAACCCTAAACCCCAAACCCAAAACCCAAAACCCTAAATCCCTATTCAGGGCCGGGCAGACCCTCCTCGGAGTCGCCAGCGATCACGTGGACGAGAGTCTGACAGCGCCTGGCAGCGGTTTAGGGTCTAGGGCCTAGGGTTTAGGGTGTAGGGTTTAGGGGTTGCTGCCTTCAAAAACAGGTAGACACTCATTACAAGACGAAAAATGTCACACACAGGTTGAAGAAGATGATGGTAGTCATGTATGTTTATGCATGCCGACTCTATGTGAGATTTCCGCAAAGGTGCCCCACCCGCATTTCGAAACGTGGCTTCGGTCACTACCAGCTCAAATATTCCGTCCAAACCTAGGCCAGCAAATTCAACATGCACAACAGCGATGTAAATTCAAAGCCTAAAACGCTCATTACGCGCGACAAGTTGAATCCAACAAGCCATAAGGGTTTAAGGTTTGGGGTTTGGGGACAAGGCCCTTCAATCTTAAAGCCTCAAGCCCTAAACCCTAAACCCTAGACCCGAAACCCGAAACCCTAAACCCCCTGTTCCGCGGACTGAGGCTGTGGCTCAATGTGGCGGAGGAACATGAAACCTAGGCTGGGCCCCAGATGTGGGTGCAGTTGAGGGGGCCTTGGCGGGTTTGACGCCCTAAACCCTAAACCCTAAACCCTAAACCCTAAACCCTAAACCCTAAACCCTAAACCCTAAACCCTAAACCCTAAACCCTAAACCCTAAACCCTAAACCCTAAACCCCGATGCGATGAAACCCCACACGCTGAGAGGTTGGAGCTCTCGGAGCCCAGGGCCTGCCCTACTTGGAGGTTCATTGGTACTTCTAACCCCAACTTAGGACTTGGGGGTTTAGGGTTTAGGGTTTAGGGTTTAGGGTTTAGGGTTTAGGGTTTAGGGTTTAGGGTTTAGGGTTTAGGGTTTAGGGTACGTCTACTTATACCCTGGAGGACTTGGGGGACGAAAGGGGCTTACAAGTACAGTTACAATTGGGGGTTATAAGTACTCATGAACCTCCAAGTAAGCCCAGGGACAAAGGGTGCTAGGCTTTAGGGTTTAGGGCATACTGATTAGCACCTTAAACATTTTGGGGTTCCAGTTTTTGGGAGATTTTTGGGGGGCGTGTGGGGTTTGGGGGGATGTACGGTCTTCAGGGTATCAGACAACCAAGGGTTTAGGGCTTAGAGCAAATTTTAAAGAGTAGATCGGGCTATGGAGCTTAAAAAATTTAGGGGTTTAGGGTTTATTGCTTCGGGTTTAGCGCGTTGTCCCAGAGCACTTCCGCTACCTCTTCAAGAATGGTGGCAAACCACAACAGACAAACTCCTGTAAACAACCTCCAACAACCCTGAACAACCTTGAACGACACTGTTTCAACAATCTTGACCCTTCGAAAAAACTGCAAACAACCCTGGTCAACCATTCCACACGCTTCATTCCACAACAAGGCCCTAAACCCTAAACACCACAAAAGACTAAAGCCCAAACTCTTTCCCCTAAACCCTAAACCCTAAGCCCTAAGCCCTAAACCCTAAACCCTAAAACCTAAACCCTAAAACCTAAACCCTAAACCCTAAACCCTACACCTTACACCTTACACCCTACAACCATAAACCCTAAACCCTAAACCAGGACCGAGGCACCCATGCCCCGGCCCTCGCTGGCGCCTTCTATCAAGCCAGGCCTGGCTACGAGTTTAGCGATTCGGGTTTGGGGTTTAGGGTTTGGGGTTTAGGGTTTCGTGTGTAGTGTAAGGTTTCGGGTTTAGGGAGTACGTACCGGCTCAACGGCGCATCCAGTTGGGGCACCCTGAAAATACCCCAAAATACTATGATCCTTATTAGAGGAACCCCCCCCGGAAGGGTACTCCTATATCCCTAAACCGTATCCCTTGAGCCCGAAATGCACACAAGTATTTTCAATGATTTTGTCGGCTTCGGATGTGTGGGCCCAGGATTGTTGAT